ACAATTTTTTTCCAAAGCAGACCTACAAAATATACAGGAGTTCTAATATTTCTGGACATAGACAACTTTATATTTTTTGAATCAAAATAAGTTAATTGGCCACAATTTACTTCAATACAAAAATGCTTTTTGCCATTATATCTCCAATTCTGGTAATGTTGCTAAAGAAACATGGTCTATTGTGAATGATTTGAGAAACAAAGCTTCTTCGTCTAGCAATATCTCTACCTCACCTGAGAACCTTAACGATTACTTTGTAAATGTAGCCAAATATTTAACTAATACCATATGTTCTTCTCTTGATCCACTTAAAATTAAAAATATTAACTCTTCCTTCCTTATTTATATTTGAATCCGTTTGCCTAATACGTAAGCGTGTATCAGCTTCTCAAGATAGGCTCACGCTTATCCAGTCAGAAACGCGGAGCAAGATCTTTATCTACCTACCCCACGCTCAGAGTTAGTTAAAAGTTCAATATTATACAACTCGAAAAAAATGCACAATCGCCTGCAATTTGATATCAAATCCATAACATCATTTTCTTCATTTCGCAAAGCATTGAAATCTTATTTACTAGACAAGGCTTTCTACGGCGTAAATGACTTATATTTTGATAATCGAATTTGATCTTGTAAACACTGGTCTAATATTTGCTATCTCTATATATTTACTATAAACTTACTAAATATTTTTGAATCCTATTTTTATGTTATTATTCTTTGACATTGTAAACATTTATAAATGTTTATTTTAAACAATAAGACTGACAATGTAATTTGTATACCTGTTTTGTATTCTCTTTTGTTTGTGTACTTTACCTTTGTATACAAATTGTAAAATTTTTTGACAATAAAGCCACTTATTTATAATCATTATAAAATTTCTTTCTCTAAAAGCATTTTCCGAATGTTTATTACGCTTTTGCGCTTATATTGACGTCAAGTTCGTTGTAAAGCAGCAAATTGTGGTTTTTCACCATGTTGTTTACGCTTAGCTTAGAAATGTCACGTTCCGCCTGTTTTCTTGCTACTTACTGCTTTTTTTGCTTCAAGCAATTTTATTTATTCTGTCGGTGTTACAAAATTCATCCAAGATAAAGACGTTACTTTATTTAGTTTTTTATCGGTAATAATAAATATGTCATTTTATTTAAAAACTATTTAATTTATTAAATATATTCTATTATCCTATAGGCTTGGTGCCTTCTCGGTTGGTGCTGCCACCACCGGAAAATATCGAGTATACAAAAAATTATTATATAATTACGCTAAAAGTGTTAGGAAGTGTTATTTGTGAAAATTCTAAAAATAAAACTAAAAATAAAAAAGTAAATATTTTGATATGTTCAGAAAGTCTAACTTGTATTATAATGTATTACACTTCAGCTAAAAAAACTTTTTAGATGAGTTCAACTACGGTAGCGAGCATATTTTTAGTCACCGGTTTTGCTAGTGGGGTCATAATTGGGGCGATTTCGGCTATAACGAAATTTTTTAAAGGTACATAATTATTATAATTTTAGAAGATGCTGATAACACATTAATCACTAATCGATTAAAAAAGTATACTATTAATATTGCCAAATTATGTTTTATTCTCTCATAGTATAAATAATAAGTGTAATTTTTACTCCAAATAAAACAATATACTATTTTCTTCCAGTGTTATTATTTTTTTTTAATGACACTGGGTCATTCCTTATCAAATTTTCAGTGTAGCAAACTAAATATATAATGAATATTCCTTATAATTTCTTATACTAGACCTTACTTTATAACTTTACATTATGCACATTTTATTACCTACAATAATTCAATACTTTAAAAAAATATGGAGATACTGATGAAATTTTACGCTTTGTAGAAATATTTATGCCTATGCTAAAAATGTATTTAATTAAAATCAAATAATGTTTTTATGTTAAAAATAACTCTACTATTGTAATTTTGTTTCCATTTAAAGAAAATATTTTTAATTAGATGCGAATTGCAAGTTTAAAATGCTAAAATTAGAATATTTAATAAAAATAGATAACAAAAAGAATTGGCTTTGGTATTACAGTTGAGGGTTGGAACCTTTGGTTCTAGCTTTATTTTTGTTGGAGATATTCGTTTTTGAAGACGACATTGACATTTTTTCGTACTTTTTACATTAAAACCATGCCTTTGCTTTTGGTTCTAGTCAACAGACTTTCTTGACATAAGATTTGCTTTATTTAATCTAAGCTATTGCACTGAGATCTGTTAGCTACAAAATTTTGATCTCTATCATCTTTAATTAAATCAACAATAGCAGATACAACCTAACCAATCATAAACACTATAGGTCTGACGACTGTATCACCAGTTTTGCCGCTATTGCTGGACAAGTGAAAATGGCGGTGCTGCCAAAGAATTTTCCAGAGGTTGCTCTAACCACCGACCAGCAAACGTCTCTAGAAGAGGCTATACTGAACGAAGTATTGGCGATCGGATCGCAACACAACGATCTACAAAATGTGGGTTAGCTGCGTTTTGCGGGGATACACTTTCGGGTGGTCCTCATAGTTTGTGTATCTCAAGAATCGGCGAATTGGTTGGTGGAAATCGTACACCTAAGCTTAAAAATTGGCAAGGGCCGGAACTGGTTGCGGTGAAGGGAAAAAACATCCCTAAAGGGGCAGCCATCACGGTCTTTCTGTCGAGGAGCAAGGGGAAAGACACCACCTACCTGCTGAGCCTTATCCAGGGTCAGAACTTCAATGTAAGGACATCGATTTGGCGAATCATCAACTCGAGGGAGGGGGGTCATGGTCAGGTCCTCACAATAGGAATTGACCTCAAATCCAAGGAGGCAATGGAGAAAGAGACATATCCTCTATTATAGATACGGGACAACACCGGTATCAGGTCTAAGGAAAGACCAAGTTAAAGAGGTGGAGAAAATAGAGACAGATCCTCCAGCCTCCACCTCACGGGTTCCTCCTCCACCTCCTCCTCGACTGTGAAGGGCGGAACGGAGGGCCAAACTCCAACCGTGGAAGGATGTGTACCCTCGGAGGAAGAACTGTTGTTAGAGGAGGATGGAAATACCCTGTTCCCTCTACAACAGGGTATGATGGGTTATAGACTGTGTGATGACTCAAGGAAGGGGGGCACAATAGATATTTAAGGTCGCAGTGATTAACCCCCCCCCCTCTTATTCATTCTACATTCTACATTCGACCGGGACCAAAAGCAAAGGCATGGTTTTATGGGGCCATCGATCAACACACTGAGGAAGCTACAGGAACTATCAAAGCCAAGCAGCAAGAGACGTGACAAAACCGTAAGTACTGCGCTACAGCTCGAAGACTGTGGCCAGTGGTAGATAAATTATAATATTCTTTGGTATATAGCAAAAAGACTAAATAACTAGTAGAGCACCAAAAAAACCTAGTACGCATAATAATTGTAGGTGTCGTTACTGGAAACTGCCTCAAGGGGGTAAACCTGGTGAGAGGGAAGATTTCCAACGACGACTACTGCTGAGAATGGGGAGAGGAAGAAAAAACGATAGAGTACCTGTTGTGCCTCTGTCCGGCACTGGAAAACCAACGCTTTAAAACTTTATGGCACGCTTTTTTTGAGGGACTAGAGGAAACAGTAGAAGCCAACATCAGCGACACCGGGAACCTTGCTGGAAGAGCTGCAAATACTTACTTAAGTACTAGACTTTAACGCAAAGAAAGAAACAGAGGAAAATTTGGTATACAATAATACAAACCCCGGCAACCTAACGGAACCTAACCTGTGGTACGAATAACTAATTGCTTTAATACATGATAGATATTGTAGAAAGTAAAAACGCCAGTTTTATTTTTTCAAAATTCTGCATTGTTTTTAACTTCTCCAACGTATTCCTTCATTAGAACTTGTTAAAATTTCAGGGACGTTTCGATAACAGTAAAAGTTTTATTTATACGGGCAAGGAAGCGGGGCGAATGCCCATAAAAAGGTTCAATCGCCACGAAAGGCTTGCAAAAATCTCCATATTAAACAACATTGAGTATTCCGGCTGCCTCCGGTTCAGTTTCAACGCCGAATTGGATGAGGGCAATCGTTCCACGACTCCTCATGCATATGCATGCGTTTTACAGCGTTGTTTTTTGCTTCGAACATATGTGATATTGTTGAACACCGATATTCTTTAATATTAACAGTGAATTAAAAGAAAAACTAGGTATCTTCATATTACTTGTTATAGAGATATGTATTTATTCAATTTATTAATAAAATCTATCTAAATTGGAATTTGCCCGGTATAGCCTAATATGTAGTTAAATTAAGGCTTCCCTTCAGTAGACAAACTATAACACCTGCGGGGAATACCAAGAGACGAGGTAGCTTTTAAACTAACAGAAGGCGGTGCATCGACTACTTGCACTTGCGAATCTCTCGATAAATCCAGGGTCAACGGCGCGGCGCCTAAAATCCCAACGGTGCGCGGTGGACCATATTTTATGGAGAAATTATTTTGCTCTTAGATATTATTCAATATGTGTTAAAATTACAGAGTCAATACAAAATATGAAAAAATTAACAATTATTAGGCCAAAGGAAATGGTTTATACAGGGTGTTACAATATTAACACACATAAAAAATCATATTTTCGCAGATTCAGGTCAAAGTCACACCTTAACTAGTTTCCAAAAAATGTCGGAGCCTAGAAGTATAAGCGTAAAAAATTTTGTTATCTCAAAAGTCAAAAGTAATGAATTTTTTATAAAACTAGTTTTTTCTTACAAATCGATGTTTAAGACTTTTGAGGCAATTGCATAAAAATATGATGAGCTGTACCTTCATTTTATTTGTAATTATTTTGAAAAGACAATATTTCATCAACTTTGTTGACTTATTGAAAATATATATTTTTTATTTATTTATTAATATCTCTGAAACTATCCAAATATATTTACATCTTATCTTAGGATTATGTAAAGTGTTGTTACAGGTTAGAATGAACTTTATGTTGTTACAGGTTAGAATGAACATGGAATCGAGCCGATCGTTGAACCAGACCGAACCACTGCGAAGCTGGCGAGACAAAAGCGAGAGAAGCGAGACCAGCGGCGCCTCGATGGGGCTGCTCAGGCGATGAGTGGGCAACGGCCCCTTGGAGGCCCATGGACCGTCACACGACGGTGTTTTTCAGTGTGGGGCAACGCGTCGAGGCAGCGCTGTTCAAATCGAACACCCCAGTAGAACAAGTCAAAAGTAAGTGAAGAATGCACAATTAATTTGTACTTGATGTTTTTTTCTTCTTCTCACCCCTTGTGCATACTCAGATTACAAGAGACCCTTATCCACTTATGGATCACAATTCTGTGATATATGTATACAGGGTGTTTCAAAAAACATGTGCAACCTCCCGTGGGGAGATTCCTCACGTAAAAATAAGATTTATTTTTCATATCGCATCGGTTCGATTCTGCTTTGTTTCGTAGCTACAGGGTGTTAAAATCTTAATAATCTTTCGGTCTATTATTATACTTTTCTTCCAAGTACTTTTAGTGGTTCGAATGAAATTTTGAGGGTAGAAAGTTACTATAGGTGTTACATATTTCAATGCTGAAAAAGTGTCGATAAATTCATCAGGGGAGACTGAATTATGGGTTATCACTGGAATATTTTTCAAAAAAAAAAAACATGTGCACCACTGACTTTTTTCTTTTGATATCGAATTTGTGTAGTTCGTACCATGTTACCGTACGTTTTAATGCCAATTACAAGTTATCTCTTGACATTTTGTCGAATTCGGTCTCATGAGATAAACGCAATTTTATTAATCACAATTAATAAAATTAAAATAAAAATAAAAATAAAATTAATAAAATATATATTTTGCCTATTTTATTATTAAATATCATTTCTATTAGTTATTATTAGTATTAGTCTAACCTACACCAATTTAAAATAAAAAATATTGGTATTTAAGATAATTATATATATAATTTTTTAAATTATAATATCAAGAGATAATTTATAATCGGCATTAAATTGCTTACACTATTTCGCTAACAAGAGAAAAAAAGTCAATGGCGTACATGTTTTTTTTAGAAAAATATTCCAAGGATAATCCTGTGTACACGTCCCTAGTGAATAGTTCGACATTTTTTTGGCTTTAAAATATGTTACATTTATAGTAACTTTTACCCTCAAAATTTCATTCGAAACGCTAAAAGTACTTGGAAGAAAATTATAATAAATCGAAAGATTATTAAGACTTTAACACCCTGTAGCTACGAAACAAAGCAGAATCGGACGTATGTTGATATGAAAAATAAACCTTATTTTTACGTGAGGAATCTTCCCACGAGAGATGGCACATGTTTTTTGAAACACTCTGTATATAATTATGTATGCTTAAAATAACTAAAAATATAGCTAATTACTAAGTCACTGTATGCTTTATTTGCGGTATATTTTTACTTTTACGGCATTTTCAGTCTTCCAAACTTTTCTACAGCATTTCCTTACGTCACATGCATATTTCAATAGCCTCACGAAGTTTTTTTCCGCCTACAAAACTAAATTTAAAAGTTCGTATATATCGAACAGTCAATTTCGACGAAACTATTCTTCGTTCTGAAAAAGCGATGAATAAAACACATTCTGGAGGTTTAGAAAGTTATATTTGTTGTTTGTCGATTTATATAAGTAATTTTGCTGTAGAAATAAAAATACAGAGTGTCATTTTAAGTAAAAAGATTTTATCTAATATACCGGATGCATCTCAAAAGTGGCTCACCCCTATAACTTTTTTATTTTTTCAGATAAAAAAACGAGATTTGGTATGTTAGTATATGACATAGATTAGGATTGATTGACATACTCAATTGTTTTCTGTCACCTCCTGTTTCGCCGGAAATGACTATAACTTTTGATTTTTAAATGGCTGTCTCGGTATCTTTTTACTTCATTCGATAGAAAATGACATTCTGAATAGAGTGACATATCATATGTCAACTTTTGAAATTTTTCTTTAAAACAAAATTGATTTTTAAACGAGATTTTAAATTTCAATCTAGAGTGCCATCGCTGTGTTAAAAACACTAATTCTTAATCAAGGAGTCTTGGAAAAATAGATTTGGTCGTCTAATGTTATTCGTGTCTTGTCCTGGATGGTTAAAAACGGCCAAATCGTATTTTTAATCATATCTCAATTTTTTCAAATGGAACGAGGGTGGCTCATATTTGGAAAAAACATTTTTTTACGAATAGTTTGGAACCAAACACTTGGTATTTCGGGTCAAATTGTCGTTATGAATCGCATGTTGCAATTTCTAATAAACCATATTCGAAAATGTCTAAGTTGACATATGATATGTCATTCTATTCAGAGAATCGATCGAGTTTTTCTATCGAGTAAAGCAACAAAAAGACGAGGGTAATATTTAAAAATCAAAAGTTGTAGTCATTGCCGGCGAAACAGGAAGTGACAGAAAACAATTAAATACGTCAATCAGTCCTAATATATGTCATATATTAACATACCAAATCTCAATTTTTTATCGCAAAAAATAAAAACGTTATAGGGGTGAGCCACTTTTGAGGCGCATCCGGTATATTATCTATAAAAAAAATTATACTTTAATTAATTATTAATTTAATAAAATATATACTTTAATTAATGTCCGTCAGTTCTGAAGGAGGGTAATTTCAACCAATATTATACAGGGTGCTACAAATTCGAGGTACGAGCATTGGTATCTCGGTAACCGTAATAGATACGAACATGGTTATTGGGGCAAAGTTGCCCCGCTTTGGGATGTTCAGCAAGATACCATCAAAAAAGTTTTAAAAATTTCACGGATTGCTGAGTTTTTTGGAAAATACGGATTGCTTTGAAAATTAATTTTTTTTTCCTTTCAGCACGGCGCCGAATATGTCCATGGTTGGCAACAATGAATTTAAAGATCGGGCTCTCGATTACGTAACTAAGTTTAATTGATATTAAATATAGGTCTTTGTAAAGAGTAGGGGAATATATAAATAAACAAACTAAAGTCATCATATGCCTTGTAGTCCAGTCATTTTAGTCGAAATAGGGTAGGAATCTGGGAATACAAGATAACGGGCTGTAAACTCGTATAAATCGTTATTTTAATATCCTAAAACATGTATCAAAACCTACACATGATAGCATGTGCGCGACTTGTAGATAACTGAGGTCAAAGGTCAAAAAATCGATTTTTTGCGCATTTTTTGCAAATATCTCGTTTCTTTTCACATTTACGGTATTTGTATTTACTATAAATATTGTAGAGGATAAAATTCTCTACAACTTTTGTTTCAAAAATTTTTTTGTACCTCAAACCCTTTTTTGAGATAGAAGGCGGTGAGCGCGCAGTCTTTCATTATACGTACGGTATCATTCAAGTTCAACCTGTAGTCTCGGTCAAAAACATGCCGGCGCCGTATAAAGTCCGTTAATTATTGAAAAATATATAATTATAAATAATTTACATTTTTTCATAAAAGATCATATTGAATATAATAATTTTTTTCATAAATTAAGTATATCTTCATTTAGTAACACTTTTTTTGTACAATTAGAAAATTATTAACAGAAATACTTTAATTACATTTTAATTATAGTTAGATTTACACTAATTACATTTTAAGTAAATAAAAATAATAATTAAATTAAAATTAATAATAAGAAATACATTTTTAATTTATATGTCTATTAAAAAATACGATTTCACACATTTCTCATGGTTGAAATTAAAAAATTTGAATAAAAATAAAAAGAACTCCTATGTTCTTATTTTTAGTTTTCTTCTTCTTCTTCATCATCGTCGTCTGGTCGTTGTGGAATTTCAAATTCTTCTTCAATTTCATCTTCAACGACATTCGTCTCCAAAACTTCTAGGATTTCGGGGTCAAATGTACCATCTTCATTGACATCACTCTGATAGGGTGAAGCATTGAGACAAGTTTGCCCATTGCACTGGCCGCAAGCTAAAGAGCACGGCAACCCTAATTTCCTGCATCCACATCGCGAACCACAACCATTCTTGCAGTTGCAGAATATTGTGTTCAGCAAATTCTTTTTAGCAAAATTATTATATTCAATATGATAAAATTAAAAAAAATATGAAAAAATGTAAATTATTTATAATTATATATTTTAATTAATTAACGGACTTTATACTGCCTGTTTTTGACCGAAACTACAGGTTGAACTTTAATGATACCGTACATACTGAAAGACTGCGAGCTCACCGCTCTCTATCTGAAAAACGGTTTGAGGTACAAAAAAATGTTTGAAACAAAAGTTGTAGAGAATTCTATCCTCTACAATATTTATAATAAATACAAATAGCGTAAATGTGAAAGGGAACGAGATATTTGCAAAAAATGCGCAAATATCGATTTTTTGACCTTTGAATTGTTAAAATAAAGGTTTATACGAGTTTACAGCCGGTTATCTCGAATTCCGAGGTGAAACCCCTCAGATGTCTGGACTATTGGTATGTGAATGACCTGTAGTAGAATATTATTAAAGAGTTCTGCGACCGCCATGCCAGAGTAATTTGACAAATAAACCAAATGCGTTTGAAAGTTTGTCAACAAACCTACCTATTTATTATAGCTTGAAATAAGAGTAAATCTGCAACATTTCAAACATCCCCTTTCGTAATAACAGCCAGCTGATTCGGTTTCATGTTATCCGAGCGTGTTATTAAATTCAGTCCACGGTCCGCCCCGCCGAATTAGGCCTCCATTCATCCGTCGTGGTGGCTTTTGAATTTCGGTCGACGCATATCCAGCATATACGTGTGTGATTGACGGGAATTAACGTGAAAAAGCGGAGGGAATGCAAACGAGGAGACGAAGAGACTTGGAGACGCAAATAATATTGGTGATAGCGACACTTTTTGATTGTAAACAAAGTACCGTATGATCGAAAAAAAAAACCAGTTGTTGAGTCCAGTTGGCTGAGAAATGACGATCGATGACATTTCCCATTGATATATAATAAAGCTGCCGTCTTGACATGTTCACCAAGATGCCATCTAAAAATTTTTTAAAATTCATGGAGAACTGAGTTTTTTGAAAAAAAAACACGGATTTTTTTGTATTTAGGTCATGGTTTATGACCCAAATAACTTATTTTGAGTGAAATTAAAAAAAAACTTTTTTTGCCGGTCTTAATAGCCTACCATACCTGTTGGTATGGTCGCCTAAAAGTTTAGTTGGCCTCTGTA